GTTTATGCCCTCTCTCCGTATTTTGCCAACCCAAATGGGAAGGGGGCATAAGGCCATGGGAAGAGGAGGGGGTGAGGCCTGGCGCTATGGGAGCTCATAGCGGCGATTTTTTGAGGCTTTTCTGGTGAGGTGGCGGGCGGCTTAGGGTGGAAATGAGAGCCGACGATGGTGGCGTAGTAGAAGATGAAGAACGACGGCTAGGAAGCAATAAGAGGAAAAACAAAAAAAAACAACAAAAGAAGATTAATAAAACCAGCGAGCCTTGGACTCTTCCGAAGACTGACGGGTGAATCTTGCCCTTCTCCAAGGGACTTCAAGTCACGAGCCGAGACTCATCATGCGGCTGTGAAAACTCCGAATCTTTCCCATAGGAAAATCCTTCAACTTATCTTCCTCTCCAAAGAACACAAGTGTGAACACAAATTTAATATCAATCATCCCTCTATACAATAGCTTAAGGCCCTATATATAGGCCCCAACATTAAGAAAACTAAAAATCAAAAATTGCCCCTTGGGCCACAACACTCACATAAACAACCTAGGGGTAAAACAGGAAATACATCAAATAAGAACTAAAATTCAGAAAAATAACTCAAATTAAGATTTAAATTATAGCCGTCGGATTTACGACGCCTCTGTGATAGATGAGCTAAATCTCGTACCGATGTCTGCATCGTCACCCTTATAAAGCATGTCTTCTTCTTTGTCATCAGAAGAACTTGATGCTGGAAAAGTATAGCATTATGAAAGCATAGACATTATTGAAGAAACTGCAACAAAACTTGAACTTTGCACATCAATTAGATTTGAAAATATTTAACAATTTTTTAGTTTGTTGAAAGCATTCTTCTTATCCATTTAATGATTGAATGTTGGAAGTAGTTTCCATGCATTAGGATCATGTATGGATATGGATAGGAACATGTAAATCACTTTACATGGAATTATCATCATCAAATCTGATGTTAGTGGTATTTGTTATTCTTAGTTTTATATTTTCTTACAATTAATGAACTTGAGGTGGTTAGCAGCAATTCATGCACTATGGAACATGGTTATGAGATGAACGTCAAAGAACATGAAAGTGGAAAAGCAAGTTTGGAAATTCGTTGGAGCTGCCCAATTACACGACTTTGTTTGATTTTATATGCATTTTAGGTAACTAATAGCTAAAAAAAGTGTGTTTAACAGGACACGAAAATCTGCATGCTTTAATCCGTGTTAATCTAAGAATTTTGGTACTCTTTGATCAAGATGCTTAAAAAAGTATCTTTAGTAATTCGTTTTCTGGCAAACGATGTGATCAAATGTTCATATGAGGAAGGGATTGATGGACGTGGATGAAATAGAATGTGCTGTGTGTGTGTGGTGAAATTATTGGTCTAACTTAATCTGGAATTGAAGCCAAGCTCGGTACTATAGTTAATCTCCATTTGCTGTGTATTAAATGGATAGCAATCAAAAATTGGGAGAGGGAGGGCCCAAATTTTTTGATCACACAAAATAAAAACTCACAAAAAATACCAAAAGACACAAATGCGATAACCCAATTTTTATATAGCAAATGAAAGATTAAGCAAACTTTGACTCTACCAAACCGACGCTTATCACAATCATAAACATAACTCCTAAAGTTGCTTCCAAAGAGAGAAGGATACAAGGTGAGGTGGCACTTGCGGATAGAAGAAAGAGATTAGGAGAACGAGACGAAGGTTGGAAAGAGCCCCGCAGATCCCATAGGAGGAGGGGAAGAAGCTTAGAAAGAGCCCTGCAGGATTTTCTAAAGCCAAAACCACTCAGGTTTTATCCAAAAACTAACTCACATCATTCTCGTCTTTTTTAAAACCTAAAAAACATCTATATATATACGGCATAAGAAGAGGAATGCCAACAGTCATCAACCTTGCTAAACAGCCAACAAAACAGCCCACGGTTTTACCAAAACAGCCAACAATCTTCCTAAAACACCAACAAAAACAGCCACACGGCTTCAGCCAAACAGCCACCAAAAAACAGCCAAAAGTTTCCCAGTTTCCATGAAACAAATGAAAAAGCCAGAGGCACATCCGTTGAATCCCAAGAAGACCCAGACAAAGCAACGGAACCAGCCAGGGACAGCACAACCCGCAAACATCTGCATAGGAACCAGGCGATTTAATTTTTCGTCAAGAGGAGGATGCCAAGAGCGGTAAAGAAGACAGCACCGAAGAGGCACCCACTGCCCATAAGCAGAGCACCGTGAGGAATTTCCAGAGAAGAAAAAGGGCGCAGTAAGCTGATTTCAAGAAGAATATTGAAAGAGCAAATTCGCACCCACAATTCTCTTCCAATCCTTAATTTTATAGCAAGCCATTAGCTCATAATGAGCCTACTTTTCCCTAGATATTAATGAGCTTGGCACAACTAAAGTTTTAACTTCTTACTCAAACGAAAATAGCAAAGGCTCCATAGAATTGTGTTGACCCTCGATCCCTTTGCTACATCAAACTCCCCTACTTGAAGAACTCATCTCCCGATGAGTTGGCTTTTGTTTTCTTTTGAGAAGGAGAAGATGGTGTATTAAGTTCTTGAATTTTTTCTTCA